CATAGATGGCTGATCAAAAGTTTAATCTGAGTAAATGTAACATTTTAAAAGAAAAATATGTTGATTAAAAATTTCACAGTGTCTACAAATCCCAAAAAAGTTGGGACAAGTAGCAATAAGTGGCTGGAAAAAGGAAATTGAACATATAACAAACAGCTGGAAGACCAATTAACACTAATTAGGTCAATTGACAACATGATTGGGTATAAAAAGAGCTTCTTAGAGTGTCAGTGTCTCTCTGAAGGATCACCAATTCCTCCATTGTTGCGCAGCAATGGTGATAGTGCAGCAATACCAGAATGGTATTACCCCGCGTAAAATAGCAAAGACTTAAGTTTAAGTTATCATCATCAACAGTGCATAACATCATCAAAAGATTCAGAAAATTTGGCACAATCGCTGTGCGTAATGGTCAAGGCCATAAAACTCTACTGGATACTTGTGATCTCCGGGCCCTTAAGTCACTGCACCTCAAACAGGAATGCCACTGTCAAGGAAATGACAGCATGGGCTCAGGAATACTTCCAGAAAGCATCGTCAGTGAACACAATCCACCGTCCCATCCGCCGCTGCCAGCTGAAACTCTACAGAGCAAAGAGGAAGCCATTTCTAAGCAAGCTCCACAAGCACAGCCGTTTGCACTGGTCCAGGAGTCATTTAAAATGAAGTGAGGCAAAATGGAGGGCTGTTCTGTGGTCAGATGAGTCACGATTTGAAGTTCTTTATGGAAGACTGGGATGCCAAGTCATCCGGACCAGAGAGGACAAGGATAACCCAAGTTATCAACGCTCCGTTCAGAAGCTGCATCACTGATGGTCTGGGGTTGCATGTGAGCTGGTGGCCTGGGCAGCTTGCATGTCTGGAAAGGCACCATTAATGCAGAGAGCCATGTTCAGGTTCTAGAACAACATATGCTCCCATCTAGACGTCATCTCTTTCAGGGAAGACCCTGCATTTTTCAACAACATAATGCCAGACCACATTCTGCAGCAATCACATCATGGCTACGTAGGAGAAGGATCTGGGTTCTGAAATGGCCAGCCTGCAGTCCAGATCTTTCACCTATAGAGAACATTTGGCGCATCATAAAGAGGAAGGTGCGACAAAAAAGGCCCAAGACGATTGAACAGTTAGAGGCCTGTATCAGACATGAATGGGAGAGCATTCCTATTTCTAAACTTGAGAAACTGGTCTCCTCTGTCCCCAGACGTCTGAGTGTTGCAAGAAGAAGGGGAGATGCCACACAGTGGTAAAAATGGCCTTGTCCCAACTTTTTTGGGATTTGTTGACGTAGTGAAATTTTGAAACAACATATTTTTCCCTTAAAATGACATTCTCTCAGTTTAAACTTTTGATCTGTGATTTGTGTTCTATTGTGAATAGAATATTAGATGTTGGCATCTCCACATCACTGCATTCAGTTTTTATTCACAATTTGTTTAGGGTCCCAACTTTTTTGGAATCTGGTTTGTAGTAAGTTGACTTAAATTAG